AAAAAAATAAAAAAATAAAATTAGCAGTGCACGGTGGCACATGCCTATGGTTCCAGGTACTTGGAAGGCTGAGGTGGAAGGATTGCCTCAGCCCAGCAAGTCGAGGTTGTGAGTGAGACTCTGACTCAAAAAAAAAAGATTTTTTAAAAATTTTAAGATTTTAAGTTACATAAAAAGCTCACCAATAAATGCTATTTCATTTATGCTCATTTTAGTCATTTTTAGCAGTTTACATATGAAATTAGTATGAAAACTGAGATATTAGATGAGGTTAGCCATCACTTTATTTTCTTGTTCACCATTTTTATATCCTGTGAATAACAGGCGCCCACCTCAATATTATAAGAAACTTAAATGCATGGGCATTTTGTTGCTAACTCAGAAGATTCAGCAATTTTTGTAGAACTATCAATCTTAAACCAGTTTTACTTGTCAAAAATAAAAATCATATGTGCAATGATCATTCTGATTTTGCCTGGGTTTATACTCTCATAACCTTTGTATTGAATCTTGACACCTTAAAATATCTAGCAGAGTGAGATGCAAAACTTATTTAATTAGTACACCTAGACAAAAATGTATGATGACAATTACTTTTCCCCCACTTTTTTTTTTTTTAGTTGGAGACTCACACTGTCACCCAAGCTGGCATGCAGTGGCATGCTCATGGCCATTGCAGCCTTGACCTGCTGGGTTCAGGTGATCCTGCTGCCTTAGCTTGCCAAATAACTGGAACCACAGCCATGCACTACCATATCCAGCTAATTTTTTTATTTATTGTAAAGATGAGATCTCACCAAGTTGCCCAGGCTGGTCTTGAACCCCTGGAATCAGGCAATTCTCTTGTCTCTGCCTCCCAAAGTGCGGGATTACAAGCGGTGAGTCACTGTGTCTGGCCCTTTCATCTTCTTAATAATTTTCATTTTATTAACAATTTTAGTGCTCACTTCTGCAGCACATATACTAAAATTGGAACGATAGAGAGAAGATTAGCATGGCCCCTGCGCAAGGATGACACGCAAATTTGTGAAGTGTTCCATATTTTTCCCTGAATTGTACCCCACAATTTTAAAGTAAAAATTAAAAGAGGAAAAAAAAACAATTTTAAAGTCATTTTTATTTACCAAAGATCATTAAAGTAACAGCAACTTGGAGCCAGGCTCGGTGGCTCAGCCTGTAATCCCATACCTTTGAGAGGCTGAAGTGAGTGGATTGCCTGAGCCCATGGGTTCGAGACCCACCTGGCCAACTTGGTGAGACCTCATCTCCACAATAAAAAAAAAAAAAAACCTAGCCGGGCGTGGTAGCACGCACCTCTAGTTCCAGCTACTTGGAAGGCTGAGGTGGAAGGATCGCCGGAGCCCAGCATGTCGAGGCTGCGGTGGCCGGGAGCGGCCATTGCACTCCAGTCTGGGTGACAGAGTGAGACTCCAACACACACACAAAAAAAAAACCCCAAAACCAGCAACTTGGAAAATATTTAGGTCTATTTATTTATAAGTACTATTTACTTATAAGTCAACTTGGCAGCATGCCAGACCCAACACATAACATGCACATATATGCAAACACATTTAACATACATACACAAGCCGGGCTCGGTGGCTCAGCCTGTAATCCCAGCACTTTGGGAAGCTGAGGTGAGTGGATTGCCTGAGCCCATGGGATCGAGACCTGCCTGGGCAACTTGGCGAGACCTCATCTCTACAATAAATCAAAAAATCAGCCGGACGTGGTAGCGTGCGCCTGTAGTTCCAGCTGCTTGGAAGGCTGAGGGGGAGGGATCGCTGGAGCCCAGCAGGTCGAGGCTGCGGTGGCCGGGAGCGGCCACTGCACTCCAGTCTGGGTGACAGAGTGAGACGCTAACTCAAAAAAAAATTAAAATTAAAATTAAAAAATGACATACATACACACATATAAACAAAGATCTAATAAAGTCTGTGCACAAAATCCAGGTAAAGCAGTTTATTTTATTTTTTTTAGTTGGAGTCTCATTCTGTCACCCAGACTGGAGTGCAGTGGCACACTCATTGTCACCCAGTAGACCAAGGCTGCAGTAGACATGAGCGTACCACTATACTACAACCTGGGCAACACAGTGGGATTCCAACTAAAAAAATAGAATACTTTATTTGACCCTATATTTGAGGGTTAACCCGTTGAGTTCTAAATTTTCCTTGCTGTAATTTGCCCAACAGTTTTAAACTGTGCACATTGGCCTTAATATCTAACCAAGTGGAGTTTCAGAAAACCAGGCATGGCTTTCAACTTTTCTCAAACATACAACAGGCTGGGTTGCCCAAAGGGGCCATTTTCCCACCTCCATTCTCTCTCTCTTTTTTTTTTTTTGAGTTGGAGTCTCACTCTTGTCGCACAGGTTGGAGTGCAGGAGCATGCTCATGGCCACCGCAGCCTCAACCTGCTGGGCTTAGGTGATCCTTCTGCCTCAGCCTTCCAAGTAGCTGGAACTAGAGACGCATGTCACCACATCCGGCTAGTTTTTGTGATTTATTATAGAGATGCGGTCTCACCAAGTTGCCCAGACTGGTCTCAAACCCCTGGGCTCAGGCAGTCCTCTCACCTCGGCCTCCCAAAGTGCTGGGATTAAAGGCTGAGCCACTGTGCCCAGCTTCCATTCTCTTTTAAAGATTTCCTTTTTAATTCTTTTGTTCCTGGCTAAAGGGAGGGAGAAAAAGGCAATGGAGAGGACCATTCAAATGTACTTCAGAATCAAATTTTTGGATTCTAAACAATTCCCTAGGAAGTGAAAACCAGCAGAGAATAAACAAGGTACCACTGACCTAAAAGCAGGACATAGGCTTAGCAGAAAATAATCAGAACCGCCCAAGAAGCACAAAGTCCTGGGGGCTGCAATGGACCCCTGCAAGTACCTAGCTCTGGGTTTGGGTGACTCCTCTGGCATTCCTGAAGGCTTCTATGTTCATTTATATTGAAGCCAGGCTTCATTACAACAAAATATTAACTTCTTTTATTTAAACTGTCCATTTTAAATACTCTCAATTTATATATATATAAAAAGACCTAATGAAGAGTTCAAGGGCATAGATTATTACCCATGTTTCTGTTTGTTTTCCTCAAGAAAAAATGCTGTTTTGCCTTTGAACCCTTGCGAAAATAGATTTGGAATGTAACCGTTTACATACTTCAAAGGCAAATTCTGAACAAGATAAGGACAATAATCAGTTATGCCAGGCATCCCTGTATCTCTGAAGGTCCCTGGACATCCAAGCATCTTCAAGTCCCCTTGACTGACCCTGCAGGACTTCCCATGAATTCCTTGGGACTTGAGGCCATGAACTAAACTCTTGGTTGTAATTTCCTTTTTACCTATACATTTTTTGCACAAATTATATTTAATCAAGGTGATTTGAATAAACTGTTTAGATGGACAGGGCATCTTTGTATTATTATTATGTTTTAGCTGGAGTCTCACTCTGTTGCCCAGGCTGGAGTGCAGTGGCCTGCTCATAGCCACTGTACCCTCAACCTGCTGGACTCAGGCAATCCTTCCACCACAGCCTTCCAAGCAGCTGGGACTACAGGCACGTGCCACCACACCTGGCTTTTTATTGTAGAGATGAGGTCTCAGCAAGTTGACCAGGCTGGTCTCAAATCCCTGGGCTCAGACAATCCTCTTGCCTCTGTCTCCCAAAGTGCTGGAATTACAGGCGTGAGCCACCGCACCTGGCTAGCATCTTTGTATTAAAAACATTTAAGAAATCTAAGAGAATTGAACTTAAATAAACGGTCTGTTTCTACACATCTCCATCACTGTACATCACAGAACTGCATTTGAGATGGTTCCAGAGGACACGAGAGGCTGGCATGGGGCTTTTGTAGAGTTAAGGGGTGGGCAATCAGATAGGAATGGCCAGTTTCCATGCCTTACCACACCACACAAACAGCACCCAGAATCTAAGGCTTTATTTTTCTGGAAGTAAGCAGCCAGAGACAGTAAGATGACCAAATTCCCTTTTGCAAAAAAACCTATATAAACGGCATTTCTTTTCATTTTATTTGAGTTGGAGTCTCACTCACTCCTTCACCCAGGCTGGAGTGCAGTGGCATGCATGGCCACAGCCACCCCAGCTGGGCTCTGGCGATCCTTTCACCTCAGCCTTCCAAGAAGCCGGAACTACAGGTGTGCGCTACCACACCCGGCTATTTTTTTTTACTGTAGAGATGAGGTCTCGCCAAGTTGCCCGGGCTGGTCTCGAATCCGCGGGTTCAGGCAATTCACTCACCTCAGCCTCACAAAGTGCTGGGATTACAGGCTGAGCCACCGAGCCCAGTCTTCTTTTTCTTTTTTTTAGAAATAAGCTTTATGTTGCCTAGCCTAGTCTTAACTACTGGGCTTAAGTGATCCTCCCACCTCAACCTCCCAAGATGGTGGGATTACAGGTGAAAGTCAACACACCTGGCTCAACTGCGTTTTAAAAATTTAATATAACCAGCAGGCAAAATGCTGAAACTAAGAATTATTTGACTCCTCACACATCAAAGAAAACCTTACTTCCCACTGTTATAAGAGAAGTATAAACAAGGGATGAAGTATGGAATGGGCCTTCCAGTAGCTACTTGGAACGAAGCTTTAGCTTCTTCCACCCTCTCGATGTCTTCCATCAGGAAAGATCACCTGTGTCTCAAGTCTACATGATGCAGGAATCTGGCATCTCCCCGCCTCACCAGACTTTGGTCAGGGAGGGCCAGTCACCTGGATGGAGGGAGCAGAAACATGGCAACAGGAAAGAGATCCCATATCACGCTGAAAAGAAAGAGTAACAGGCAATAAGCAGAGCCTGGGAAGAGGAAATCAGGGGATGTGGCACCACTTACAAATCCATGGGGTGACAACTGTGACTCCCAAGTCTCTTAAGCCCCATAGTTGGGAGCCAGAGATAGTGCCGGGCGGCATGGGATGTAGTTGTCCTGTGGGTCCTTGGCTTGCCGCTGGAAGGCATTTCAGAGTGAGACACAGAGAGGTTTCAAGTATGGTTTATTAGAAAAGAAAATCAAATGACACATTCAAGAGAGAATGTGGGTGGACTTTATGTTAAAAAGGGCTTTATGTATTTCCAAAATGATGATTAAAGAAACTGTTTCTAAGCTAAGCTTTGATCAGGTGTCAATTCTTATTTTATTTCTAAATTTTGCTAGTGTCACAAGGAACTGTTAAGAAAATCAGAAAAGTTGCTGTAATTAAGTTTTCTCTTAGCGCACTGTGCCTGTCTCTAGTATACTGTCCTGTTCTTGGTTCTTACAGCCAGCTGCCCCATATTCCAAGGATGGGTATGGATTTCAGTCAGTATGTAGTTGCTTAAGAGTTATGTCCCAATAAGACAGTACACAGATACAGATACCTGACCACCTAGCTTCCTAATTATCTAAGTCTGCCTGTGAGAAACTGTCTATATCTGAGCTATGCTAGCTGTCCTGCAGTACCCTCAGTGTGTCCTCTGATGTTTGATGAGACCTGAGTTCCGGCTAAAGCCTCGCCCACACTCCCTGCACACGTAAAGCTTCTCCCCTGAGTGTGTCCTCTGATTAATGAGGAGTAATTTCCAGATAAAGCCTTGGCCAACTCACTGTACACTTAAGGCTTCTCTCCCAAGTGTGTCCCCTCCTGAATGACAAAGGTCAATTTGTCATTAAAGTCTTGCCCATACCCCAACCCCCCGAAAAGAATTTCTCATCTCAGTGTGTGTCCTCTGGCGGTTGGTGAGAAGTGCCTCCTGGATAAAGCCTCGCTCACATTCCCTGCAGACATAGACTTCTCCCGAGTGAATGCACTGATGTCTATTACGCATGGATTTACTTTTAAAGTTCTTCTCACACTCCCTGAAAATACTTCTCTCTCAAGTATTTATTTACTACTATGTATGGCAAAAGTTGGTTTGTGACAAAAGCCTCGCCCATACACCTTGCATACATAGGGCTTCTCTCCTCTGGTGTCTGGCGAGATATGGCTTCCAACTAAAGCTTCACCCACACTCCCTGCAAATATAAGCCTTCTCCACTGAGTCTATCCTCTGGTGTGTGATGAGATGTGACTTCTTGCTAAAGCCTCACCCCAAATCACTGCAGACATAGGCTTCTCCCCTGAATGTGACCATTTGTGTGTGATGAAGTGTGACTTTCAGCTTAAGCCTTTCCCACAATTGCTGCAATCATAAGGCTTTCCTGAGTGAGTCCACTGATGTCTATTAAGGATGAACTTCTTTCTAAAGCTCTTCCCACACTCCCCATACAAATAAGGCTTCGCTTCTGAATGTGTTCTCTGGTGACTTTTGGTGAAAGCCTCACCCACAATCATTGCAAACATCGTGTGTCTGGTGGTGACTGTTGAGGGCTGACTTATTTACTCACAATCACGGCAAACTCAGAGCCTCTCCATTGAGTGTATCTGGTGGTGACTGTTGAGAGCAGACCTGTGTTTAAAGCCTCGTCCACAATCACTGCAAACACATGGTTTCTCCATCGAGTGGGTCTGATGGTGTCTCTTAAGGGTTGACCAACCTTCAAAGCCTCGTCCGCAATCACTGCAAATATAGGGCTTCTTCACTGAGTGTGTGTAATGGTGTCTGTTGAGGGCTGACCTCTTTTTAAAGCCTCGCCCACAATCACTACAAACATAGGGCTTCACCTTGGAGTGTGTCTGATGGTGTCTGTTGTGGGCTGACCTATGTTTAAAGCTTCGTCCACAATCACTGCAAACATAGGGCTTTTCCATCAAGTGTGTCTGATGGTGTCTCTTGAAGGCTGACCAACCTTTAAAGCTTCGCCCACAATCACTGCAAATATAGGGCTTCTCCATCGAGTGTGTCTGGTAGTGTCTGTTGAGGTATGACCTGTTTTTAAATCCTCGCCCACAATTACTGCAAACATAGGGCTTCTCACCTAAGAAGGTCCTGGAGTTTCTAATGAAGTTTGATTCTGAGCTGTATTCTCTACAGTTGATTGCTCCAAATCTTGAGGCTTCTAATTCCTTCATTCCTTTGTCTGACTGCACAGGGTTTACCCTTTGGGCCGAATTGGACTCTATTTCTACCACCATGTTGCCCTCTCTTGGACTCGCTGACTGTCCTTGGAGTGGGCTGAAAAATGACCTTGATGTCTCTCTCTCCTTTGTCCTTGCTGACCAGGGTTTGCAACCACCTTCTCTCTCTTGACCTTCTGCATTTTCACTCCAGCAGTTCTGATCAGAATACTGGTGCACCTGCAGTTCCTGAAGGCCTGAGCTGGAATTCCCTGGATGGGAATGATTTTCTGCACATAAGCCCCAGAAGACCTGAAGCATGTGTTGGCTGAGTACTTGCAGACAGGAGACCAGAAGACAGGAAGAACAAGGGTAGGTTCCTGGCTTTGTCTCTGTTGAAGAAAGAAAAGTCTTCAGTTAGAAAAGCCATCAATGGGGCTGCCAGGCTGTTCTGCCTTGTCTTAGCACAGAGAGTGTCCTAATGCCACGACTCTCATTGGCAACACAATTTGCTTCTGACAAATAATTTCTTTACATTCCATTTTTACGTATCACATTTTCCATTGCAATCCAGAAAATCACAACAAAAACATCTTCTATCTGTCATTGTGCTCTGTAAACAGGTTCAATCATAGTTAATCTTTTCCTTTTTTAGAAACCATCTGAGCCATAAAATCTTACATGGATACATACTGTCTACAACTCTTTGTTCTGCTTGCAGATAACAGTCTCTAAGACACATGTGGAAAATCCATCACTTTTCTTAGTATAAAAAGGACTTGATAGACATAAAATACATCTGAATTTTAGGAGGCCTAGAATTATGAGACAATTTCTAAGTACTATTAGTATTAGTATTGTGAATTCGGCAGTGAACAAGAAAAACGAACTCCATGATTTCAGGATTCTGGCACCAGACCAATCTAATACTTGCCCTTCTTTCAGTTTTTCAAAAATCAATACAAAAGAAAATGTTTTTATTTACAGCAGCATCTACCTACAAATTATCAAAACTAGATGTGGTACTTTTTTTTGAGTCAGAGTCTCACTCTGTTACTAAGGCAGCAGTGCAGTAGCATGCTCACAGCTTCTGCAGCCTTGACCTGCTGAGTTCAGACAATCCTTCCACCTTAGCCATTCATGTAACTGAAAATACAGGTATGTGACACCAAGCCCGGCTAAGTTCTTGACTTACTATAGAGACGAAGTCTTGCCAAGCTGCACAGGTCGGTCTTGAACCCCTGGGTCAAGCAATCCTCTCACCTCTGCCTCCCAAAGTGCTAGAATTGATTACAGGCATGAGACACTATGACTAGCACTAAATGTTGTATTTTATCACAACTGGATCTAGGCAGTTGATGCTGATAAATGACCATGTAATTGGCCCCAAAATCCTGTTGCACCTCATTGAAGGCTCCTGCCTGACAAATGACAGTGGAATCTTTATATTCAACTATGTCCCTAAAAACTCATTCTATCCTATCCAGAGTGCTAGCTTTCAAACTTTCATTACCACAAACACCATAAAACCACAGCTTAATAGTTAAAAACCTTTCATGTTTTTCCTCTTTACCAAACTATACAGTATATTTCTTCACTGGGGTGTCTCCTTGCCTGTAAAGTAAATGATATAAGAAAAACTAGCTGGGTGTGATGGCACACCCCTGTAATCCCAACAACTTGGGAGGCTGAGGGGTGGGGATCACTTGAGCCCAGGAATTCCAGGCTGTGATGAGCTGTGGATGTGTCATCACTACACTTCAGCCTGAATAACAGAGTGAGACCCTACCTGAAAAATAAAAAATAAACATAAAAATAAATTAAAGGCTAGGCTCAGTGGCTCAGTCTATAATCTCAGCACTTTGGGAGGCTAGAAGTGAGTTGAGCCCATGGGTTCAAGTCCAGCCTGGGCAACTTGGTGAAACCTCATCTCTACAGTAAATCAAAAAATTAGCCAGGTACGGTGGCACATGCCTGTAGTTCCAGCTACTTGGAAGGCTGAGAGGAAGGATCGCCTGAGTCTAGTAGGTCAAGGCTATGGTGGCCGTGAGCGTGCCACTGCACTCCAGCCTGGGTGACAGAATGAGACTCCAACTCAAATATATATATTAGCCAGACACAGTAGTGCATGCCTGTAGTAGTTCCGGCTACTTGGAAGGCTGAGGCAGAAGGATCACCTGAGCCCAGCAGGTCGAAGCTACAGTGGGCATGACTGTGCCACTGCAACCCAGCCTGGGCAACAGAGTAAGATTCTTTTTTTTTTATAATCAATATTTTTTATTATGGTTTTGTGGGGTACAGTTAAAGGTTAGGTGTACAATTATGTTTCATTCAGGCACCCTGTTGATAAGAGGTGTTTCCCCATCCCCAGACAGATATTTGCTACTATTAATCCCATCTCCCTCCGCATCCCCCTAGAGTAAGATTCTAACTCAAAAAAACCAAAAACTGTTTAAAAGATTTTGTGATAATTCTAGACTTGTGTAACCTGAACTTTCAGTCTTGGGGTTTTTTTGTTCCTCACTTTGCCACAGAGGCTGGAGTACAGTACACCTGCTGGGCTCGGGCGATCCTTCCACCTTAGTCTTCCAAGTAGCTGAAACCACAGGCATATGCCATGACATCTGGCTAAATTTTTTTTTTAATTTATTTTTTGTAGAGATGAGGTCTCGCCAAGTTGCCAAGGCTGGTCTAGAGCCCCTGGGCTCTGGCAATCCTCTCACCTCCACCTCCCAAAATGCTGGGATTACAGAAGTGAGCCACTGCGTTCAGCTCAGTCTTTTTTTGACTATGATTTGTTGCTGTTCCTTTGGCTTATCCAGAAACATTCCACATCATTCAGATCACAGTCTGCAACACTCCACATCACTGAAAGGACAAGAAATGCTATTTGTGCCTATTCTGTGTTAAATAGAAGAGCTCATTATAGTTAACACCCTGCTAAAGGAACTTCATGTATACTCATTATAATTCCAATCCCCACATCTTACTAGTAAGGTATCATTATTTTTTCTTTTGGAGTTAGAGTCTCACTCTGTCACCCAGGCTGGAGTGCAGTGGTACACTCACAGTCATCCCAGAATCGACCTGCTGGGCTCTGGCAATCCTTCCACCTCAGTCTTCCAAGTAGCCAGAACTACAGGCGGGCACTACCATGTCCGGCTAATTGTTGATTTATTGTAGAGACGAGGTCTCGCCAAGTTGCCCAGGCTGGTCTCGAACCTGTGGACTCAGGCAATTCTCTCACCTCGGCCTCTCAAAGGGCTGGGATTATAGGTGTGAGCCACCATGCCCAGCCACAGTACTTATTTCTAAGGAACAACTATATAGTTAAGAAACTTGGCTCTAAGCATCATCAAAGTATTTATTCATTTGTTTTATCTTAAAATACAAGGAATGTAATTTCAGAAGAGTTGACCCACAATCTTATTAAAAATACATAAAATACAATTCAAGAACCAGGTGTGGTGGCTCGCACACCTGTAATACTAGTACTTTGAGAGGCCGAGGTGGGAAGATTGCTTGAGCCCAGGAGTTCGAGATCAGCCTGGGCAACACAGTGAGATCTCATCTCTACAAAAATTTAAAAATTAGTCAGGCGGTCAGGCTTGGTGGCTCAGCCTATAATCCCAGCACGTTGAAAGACCGAGGCAAGAGGATTGCCTGAGCCTGCAGATTCAATACTAGCCCGGGCAACTTGGCGAAACCTCATCTCGACAATAAATCAAAAATTAGCTGGGCGCAGTAACATGTGCCTGTAGTTCCAGCTACTTGGAAGGCAGAGGCAGAAGGATCGCCGGAGCTCAGCAGGTTGATGCTGGGGTGGTTTTGAGCATGCCACTGCACTCCAGCCTGGGCAAGAGTGAGACTGCAACTCAAAAAAAAAAGTCAGGCATTGTGGCCTATAATCCAAGCTACTTGGAGGCTGAGGTGGGAGGATCACTTAGCCATGGAAGTCAAGGTTGCAGTGAGCCAGGATGATACCACTACACTGCAGCATGGGCGACAGAGTGAACCATTACTCAAAAAAAAAAAAAAAAAAGCAGTTTAAGATCTGTATGCAACTGTTTGTCAGTAAAGATGGAGTTGGTCAATTTTTTATGGAAAGCACTAAAGAGTAAATATTCAGGCTTTGTAGGCTACATGGTCTCTGTCACAACTACTGAACTCTGCCAGTGTAGAACAAAAGCAGCCATAATAATACATACATGAATGAGTATAGTTATGTTCCAAATACTTTATTTACAAAAAAAACAAAAAACAAAAAACCACTAAGACACATCTGACCTGTAGGCCATACTTTGACAGCCCCAGTTTTACTTAGGAAATGTGTTCAAAACTCTCTGATTAAAGTTAATTAGGTTTTTTTGTATTCCCCTGTTCCCTGTGGTCATGTTATTATTTTGACATAGATAGATTTATTTCTCTCTGTATTCTATTTTAGGGATATAGGGATTTTTCTTCTCTTTGTTGATGTCATTCTTTTCTTTGAGTATGTAAAACACTAGTATGTTCCAAGCGAAAAACTACTAAGAACTTCACAAACAACCAATCTTATTAGCATCTGGTTGATTCATCCTGTGTCACCTTGTTGAAGGAAAGAAAGAAAGAAAGAAAGAAAAGAAAGAAAGAAAAGAAAGAAAGAAAGAAAGAAAGAAAGAAAGAAAGAAAGAAAGAAAGAAAGAAAAAGACGAATATTCTCATTTCTCAGTTTTTAAAATATTCTTTGCAACTATTTTCACTTCATGTGTCAAAGAACATGCTCCACATCAGTTCACAGGTATGTTCCCCAAATGAAAGCTATGTAAAGACATAGAGAATAGCATAATAAACACTGGAGACTCAGAAGTGGAGAAGTAGAGGGACAAGAAAATTACCTATTGGGGACAGTATGCACAGGCACGAGTGGTGGGTACTCTTAAAAAGTCCATACCGAAACCTATTTGTATCTCCCAAGGTATTGAAATCAATAAAATAAAATTATGTGGCAAAAAAAAGGGAGAAGGGATGAATGAGTAAGTGGGTAATATAGTAATAACTCTAGATGATTCATGCTCCTCCTAGACCTCAGTGAGCTCCACGATCTTTATTTCTTTCTTAAGATTTAATGTAAGCTTCCCTCTTACAGTAAATTGTATTTTGATCAAATATTGACTATCTCTCTATTGAGCCTGCCACAATGATATCAGACTTGGCTGGGGGATTTGCTTTGGCCACTGAAAGTTAGTGGGAAGTTAGTTCACTTTTTTGTTTGTTTTTTTGAGTTGGAGTATCACTCTGTCGCCCAGGCTGGAGGGCAGTGGCACGCTCACAGCCATCACAGCCTCGACCTGCTGGGCTCAGGCGATTCTTCTGCCTCAGTCATCCAAGTAGCTGGAACTAGAGGTGCATGCTACCACGCCTGGCTAATTTTTTGATTTATTGTAGAGACGAGGTCTCGTCAAGTTGCCCAGGCTGGTCTTGAACCCCTAGATTCAGGCAATTCTCTCACCTTGGCCTCCCAAAGTGCAGGGATTACAGGTTTGAGACACTATGCCCAGCTCAAACAAGTTTTAAGAGCCACTATGTGGGGTCCGCCATTGCCCTTTTGCCCTATACCTTGAGAACCCTGTGACCCAGATAGAGGCTGCTCCTTTTGCTTGGATCCAGAATCAGTAGAGTTGAGCAACACAAAAACTGCAAGCAAAGGTAATATAAGTGAAAAAACGGCCAGGCGCAGGGGCTCATGCCTGTAATCTCAGCACTTTAGGAGACAGAGGTGAGAGGATTGCCTGGACCCAGAAGTTCTCTAGACAAGCCTGGGTAACATGGCAAGACCTTGTCTCTCCAATAAATCAAAAAAACTAGCTGGGTGTGTTCACATGCGCCTATAGCTCCAGCTACTTGGAAGGCTGAGGCAGAAGGATCACTTGAGCCCAGCAGGTTTCCCTGTGGAGGCATTAAAGATTATTTCAAGGATAATCCAGCTATTTAGTTCTGAAAGTGCTCTTGAAGAAGAGACATTATATTACAGAATAGTCTATGGCTATACCACCCTGGAATGCACCCAATCTTGTCAGTTATTATAGAATATATGAAGAAAAAAAGTTGAGTTTTGGAGAAAAAATAGTATGCTCTCAATTTTTTCTAAGTTTGAGAGTAAACTTGTGCTGTTTTGCAGTCAAGTAGAACTATGACAATTAAAGCACAGATGAGATAGTGATAGAATACGGGTTCATTATAATATGTGATGAGGAAAATCATTACAGTTCACAAATTGGTAAAGGGTCTGAATACAGACACAGATAGGGAATATGTAATATTAATTTCAATGAACCCCTACAATTCAATGAAAAGAAAAAAGCCCAAAAGAGAGACATAAGACAGTGGAGAACCACAGAGTACTATGGTGCCAAGCAAAACAAAGGAAGCAATTTTAGGAATGCAATTGGAATACAGGTTTTCTTTTCTTTTCTTTTTTTTTTTTTTGAGTAGGAGTTTTACTCTGTCGCCCAGGCTGTAGTGCAGTGGAATGTCCATGGCCACCACAGCCTTGACCTGCTGGGCTCAGGTGATCTTTGTGCCTCTGCCTTACAAGTAGCTGGAACCACAGATGCGCACCACCACATCCGGCTAACTTTTTTTTATTTTGCTATAGAGACAAGGTCTCACCAAGTTGCCCAGGTTGGTCTTGAATCCATGGCCTCAGGCAATCCTCTTGCCTCCACCTTCCAAAAGTGCTGGGATTAAAGGCATGAGCCACTGGGCTGCTGGGTAGGGATCCAGGTTTTCAATGTCAAGTTTAATTTGAACCAGGTTATCCTAACATTTTCCTCCAAACCAGTTAAATGTATATACAGTGGGAGAGAGAATATGACCAAAGAATAATAAAAATATAACAACATCTAATAATACTGACTAGCTAATAATAAAGGAAAACACTAGAACCATTAAACATAATAACAAATCCTTTTTTTAAAAGATAAAAAATATAAGAACCAGACTGAAATGGATGAATCTATAATGAATTAGATGAAGCAAATCGAAGGGGCTAGTTCAAACCAGAAGGGATCAGATAAAAAACACATCAAAGAAGGTGAAAATGAAACAAAGAAAACATGATTCATTCATGTCAGGGAAACAGCCATGCCAATGAAGGACACTCCTACAGAAACTCCTGCCTAAAACTATTATGTATCTCCGAAATGGGATTCATCTCTACAAGATTTATCCAAAAATAGGACTATCTAGAACAACACTATCCTGTATAGTAGCCACAAGCCATGTCTACTGAGCACTTCAAATGTGGTTAGTCTATTTTTTTTTTTTTAATTGGAGTCTTACTCTGTTGCCCAGGCTGGAATGCAGTAGCATGCTCACGGCCACCACAACCTTGACCTTCTGGGTTCATGCAATCCTTCTGCCTCAGCCTTCTAAGTAGCTGGAACTAAGGAACACGCTGCCATGCCTGGCTTATTTTTTGATTTATTATAGAGATGGAGTCTCACCAAGTTGCCCAGGCTGGTCTCGAACCCCCGGGCTCAGGCAACCCTCTCACCTCAGCCTCTCAAAATGCTGGGATTACAGGATGAGCCACCATGCCTGGCCTGTGGTTAGTGTAAAATGCACACCAGATTTTGAAGATTTATAACAAAATGAGTAAGATATCAAATTAATCATATTTTGTTACAGAGGCTTTATCAACTACAAAACTTTAAAGAGTTACTGTTTGGTCCTTTACAAAAGAGTCATCTTGCAATTGATAGCTTTTATCAACCTAGATTTAAAGAATCATTATAGGTTTCAAGACAAAAAAATGGGTTTATAAAACTCAAAAGCCATAAAAAGTTTGGTGCTTCCTTTTAACTTCTGTTGCAGAAGGCATCTCTCACTTCCCTTCCCCTTGTAAATGGGCCCCCAGCCTCACTGGCCTCCTGGCAGTTCCTTATACTGGAAGACCACATCTTTTTATAAGGTCTTCACATCAGTGATTCCCTCCACCTGAAATGCTCTTATTTTAGATATGTAGAGTTTTAACTTCCTCACAACATTATTTCTTTGATCAAATGTGTTCTCCTCACTGATTTCAAGTGCCCAATTATAAAGTTCAGCCAGCCACTCTGTCACACCCAAAACCCCTTGCCCTGCTTTATTTTCATATTATTTTTTACTATATACTATTATTACTCTTTAACATACAATACAATATCTATATATATGAAGCTTTTTGCTTGGTGTCAGTTTCCTTCCACTACAAAGTAAACCCAACGGATTACCGCTTCACTTACTCATTATTCTAAGTGTCTAGGACATTTTTTGTACAGTATATGTGATCAAGGAATCTCCACTGAATTAAAGAAAGAGCACAGCCTCACCCAATGAGAGCAGATTCCAGTAATTCTCCAGCATCACTTCTTTGTACAGATTCCTCTGCTCTAAACTCAGACTCTTCCATTCTGCTTCCGTGAAGATCAAAGCCACATCCCTGAATGTAACAGGTACCTACAAACAAGCAGTCAATTAGTGTACAACAAGCCACCTTCAATTTTCCCCGTGTGAGGAACACAGCTGGTGGGCCCTGGAGAGTATGAATACCCAAGACCTGAACATCATTCTTGTTGGGCATGGTGGATCACGCCTGTAACCCCAGCACTTGGGAACACTGAGAAAGAGGCTAGAAAAAGCATTACAGACTTTGGACTTGTGCTTGGGCAGCAGGGAGTGGGGAAGTGTTAGAGGAAACAATAGAATACAGAGAAAACTGGGAGTTAACACAATAGAAGTGAACACCATAGAAGAATACAAAGACAAATAAAGGAGACAATAGAAGACTACAGAGAAAAATGGACGTGAACAGATAGGGTCAGTATGATCTTCTTTATTTTGTCTTGCCTTTTTTCAAAATTTTTAATTTTATTTTCAAGTTGTGGGATACATGTGAGGATTTGCTAAACAAGAAAACAGCAAGTGGGTGAAGTCTGGGCTTCTAGCGAGCCCTCTCTCCCCTGGTAAAACTGAGTTACCACAAGATCCAGCAATTACATTTCTGGGAATATACCCAGAGGAATATAAATTATCCCACCAAAAACACACCTGCATAGGTATGTTCATTGCAGCTTATTAATACTAGTAAAAACATGGAACAAAACAGACGTCCATTGAGGGTGCACTGGATAAAGAAAATGTGGCACATATACACAATAGAATACTACATAGCAATAAAGAAGAACAAGTCTTTTGCAGCAACATGGATGTAGGTGGAGACCATTGTTCTAAGTGAACTATCACAGAAACAAAAAACTAAATACCACGTATTCTCATAAGCAGGCTCTGGAGAGTATGAATACACAAGACCTGAACATCATTCTGGCATGAGCATTTTTGAAAAGTTCAGGTTACTAGATGGGTTCTGTAAAATCTCTGTTTTCTCTATATATTTCAACCACCTTTTTTCTTTCCTTTTTATATTTTTGAGTCAGAGTCTCACTCTGATGCCCAGGCTGGAGTGCAGTGTCATGCTCATAGCCAATGTACCCTCAACCTACTGGGCTCAGGCAGTCCTTCTGCCTCAGCCTTCCAAGTGGCTGGAACTACAGGTGCACACTGCCATGCCCAGCTAATTTTTTTTCTCATTGTAGAGATGAGGTCTTTCCAAGTTACCCAGGCTGGTCTTGAACCCTTGGGCTCAGGCAATGCTCTCACCTCTGCCTCCCAAAATGCTGGGATTATAGGCATGAACCACCGCACCAGGCAAGCACCTTTTTTAAATAAAGCCCTAATATTTCTGCCAGTACCTAAATGTTGGACACATTCTCCTTTCCCAAAAAAGAGAATATATGTCTGTTCTCTAGGAAATGAGTCATCAGTTCAGAAATAAAAAATGTAACCCTACTCACCAGCATTTGGGGCTTTCCCTCCTTTTCTTCAGTATAGTTAGAAGTCAAAGCTAAGAGAAAATAAAGAGGCTATGAGAAACCAGGCCTCTCATTATGTTCTCGGAGTAACTCTTCTGAGCTCTAAAATTGAAGAAGCAGTCACTTTACTCAACTGTTACCTCAATAGCATTCTCAGGTGAACCTGGAGTATGGCCCCCTCCTTACCCTTCTAAGCCCTCAACAATTCCCACCTTTCGCCTTATGATTTTGAGTCAATTTCTTCAGGATCTCCCTATCTTTCCCATTCTTTGAAGGCAAAATCTTCTCCTGGTCTTGCTCTCCCAGTGCAGAAGGATCAGACAACATCGTGGCCCCAGAGGTAGCCCAAACTTGAAATCCTGCAAGAGAGCAAAACAGATGTTATTTCATCTCAAGATGGATTTCTGCTGCCTGGGGTGACTTCTTCCAACCTCAATTGTAAAAGTCCATCTCGTTTCCATGCAGCCAGGACCTGTGGGATGGAGAGGCAATTGACACTGCTGGGGCATTTATTGGAGGCCCTAAGCCTATGCCTCTTCAGCAGGGATCCTGTCCTCTCACACCCTCCTCAATCAACAAACATGGAGTCTCCATCTACAGGGGTTTCCTGGATTTTTTTTTTCCCCTTCACTCATTCTGCCTTCATTTTTAGGCCCTCAAATCTGTCTTATTCCACCATCCCTTGGCTTTCAAAATTTATAACTTCTTCCACCTCTGTATCTCAGATTCAAACTCCATGTCTTGGCTACTGAGAGCCTGAGTCAGAAAGAAGACACAATATAGTGCCAGTAGATAAAGTCTCTGAATGTCTCCTTCCAGACCAATCAGCTTCTGACTGCCCTGGCAGAAGCTCCCACATATGTTCAATTTCCTATGTCTCTGCACTCTAGGAGTTTAGAGGCTCTAAACTGAGTCCTTCTTACTTGAGACAGCTCCAGACCTCACAATGATTCTGAAATTATAATCCCCCACCTGTCACATCTGTACACCAAATGACCTCATCAGACATATGCATTTTTGTCTCTAGATGGGCTCGAGTCAGAGCCTCCACTCATGTGGGCCCAAAGGGGCCAAGTACTATTAGAAGCTATGCCACCTTCAGAAGCTCCTCAGAGACTGTCCAGAATCTCAGCCCAAATGAAGCCAACTGTGGCCTCATGGCCTTGTAGTACCAGATGGGTTCTTCTAAGAAACTCTTAGTAATTCATTCCCCAATACCATGGACAGAGTTGATCAGTTTCTCTTCTGTCCAACCTGAACATCTCATCTTAATCACACCATATTGCAATTTCTCTATTTACATGTCCATCTTTAGTAAAATGTGAGCGTCTTGTAAGAAGAAATGCATCTTCTTCTTTTGCTAATCTAATCCTAGTGATTAGAATAAAATAGTCCTTTATGGTAGATTTTATCATATTTGTTTCCAGTTATTTGTTTCTCTACAAAATAATTCATCCTCCCTGAAATGCTGGCATTAGGCTTGACATTGTTATTTGCCCTGCAAGTTAAACGTGAATGAAATTGAAAGTGCCATTTTTTTTTTTGAGTTGGAGTCTCATTCTGCTCACGGCCATGAGCGTGCCACCGCAGCTTCAACCTACTGGGCTCAGACGATCCTCTTATCTTAGTCTTCCAAGTAGCTGGAACTACAGGCACATGCCACCATACCTGGCTAATTTTTTTTTTTTTTTGAGTTGGAGTCTCACTCTGTCACCCAGACTGGAGTGCAGTGGCCGCTCCTGGCCACCGCAGCCTTGACCTGCTGGGCTCCGGCGATCCTTCCGCCTCAGCCTTCCGAGTAGCCGGAATTACAGGCACGCGCTACCACACCCAGCTAATTTTTGATTTATTGTAGAGATGAGGTCTTGTCAAGTTGCCCAGGCAGGTCTCGAACCCGCAGGCTCAGGCAATCCACTCACCTCGGCCTCCCAAAGTGCTGGGATTACAGGCTGAGCTACCGAGCCCAGCTAATTTTTTTTTTTTTTTTATTATAGAGATGAGGTCTCACCAAGTTGCCCAGGTTGGTCTCAAATCCATGGGTTCAAGCAATCCTCTCGCCTAAGCCTCCCAAGTGCTGGGATTATAGGAGTGAGCCACTGTGCCCGGCTGCCATTTCTTTTTAAATTATTATTTGTTTGTTTATTTATTTATTTCGTTTGATTTATTTATTTATTGAGTTGGAATCACTCTGTTGCCCAAGTTGGAGTGCAGTGGCATGCTCACAGCCACCGAAGCCTCAGCCTACTGGGCTCAGTTGTACCGTCCGCTTCAGCCTTTCAAATAGCTGGAAGTATAGGCGCATGCTACCATGCCCAGCTTATTTTTGATTTATTGTAGAGATGAGGTCTTACCAAGTTGCCCAGGCTGGTCTCAAACCCGAGGGCTCAGGCAATCCTCTCACCTCGGCCCCCTAAAGTGCTGGGATTATAGGTGTGACTCCTGTGCCTGGCTGGCATTTCTTTAATTTTTATGTGTCTGTTTATTTATTTATGTCTTTAAGATAGCATACTATTTATTTGAGTCAAAATTTCATTCTGTTACTTAGGCAGTATACTCTTGGCTGCTGTAGCCTTGACCTGCTGGGCTCAGACAGTCCTTCTGCCTTAGCCTTCCAAGTAGCTGGAACTACAGACAAATACCATCACACCTGCCTAATTTTTCTTCATTTATTCTAGAGTTGCACAGGCGGGTCTCAACTCCCTGGGTTCAGACAATCCGCTTGCCTTCGCCTCCCAAATTGCTGGGATTACAGGAATCAGTCACTATGTCCAACTGACAATGCCATTTCTGTAAACTGTATAACTTCACCATTTCTCTTGATCTGAGAACAGCATGCTCCTAAAGGGTACTGTGGTCCTATTGTAAAAGGTGATGGAACAGAGCAGAAGCTAACAGGCAAAGGAGGAAGAGTCAAGACTGGGTTTGAAGTTACATGGCTGTGTGAGCTACTGAGATTTAGGGGTCATGTATCACAGTAATACAACTTAACCTCCGCAGAAAAAGATAGCTCTTATCTGTAGCTAACAGTTATAAAACAGAGGCCAGGGGCAGTGGCTCATGCCTATAAACCCAGCACTTTGGGAAGCTGAGGTGAGGATTGCCAGAGCCCAGGGGTTCAAGACTGGCCTCTGCAACTTGGCGAGAACTCATTTCTACAATAAATCTAAAAGTGAGCTGGGCGTGGTGGCACACGCCTGTAGTTCCAGCTAATTGGAAGGCTGAGGTAGAAGGATCGCCAGAGCCCTGCAGGTCGAGGATGCAGTGGCCAGGAACGTGCCTCTGCACTCCAGCCTGGGCGGCAGTTAGAACCCAGCTCAAAAAAAAAAACCCCAAACACAAAGGAACAGGGTCTGAACTAATCACAAAGTTCCATCAACCCTTTTCTCACCTCATTTCTTATTTCTTCACCAGTGCCTAAAACAATGCCCACTAAACAAATGACTAAATGAAAAGGCAAAATGTAAGCAGATAGGGTTTGAAATTCACCCAGAAGATAGGACCTTCAGAGTGAAGTAAAGAATGGGTGTGCATCAGTCAGATGGACTGAGTTGTTCTGTAGTAACCAATAAACTCCCCTGGAGTCTCAGTAGCTTAATGTACTGAAGGCTTATTTCTCACTCGGGCTCCATGTCAATCCATCTGGCAACTGCAATTGTGCTCCAAGTTCTCTTACCTCCAGGATGAAGTTAACAGTGCAGTCGCTACTTGGAAAATGGCCAGAATAAATCCACAAGGGAGAAACATGATAGAGAACAACACACAGACTCTTTTTTTTTTTTTTGAGTTGGAGTCTCACTCTGTCGCCCAGACTGGAGTGCAGTGGCTGCTCCTGGCCACCACAGCCTCGACCTGCTGGGCTCCGGAGAACTTTCCGCCTCAGCCTTCTGAGTAGCTGGAATTACAGGCACACACTACCACGCCCGGCTAATTTTTGATTTATTGTAGAAATGAGGTCTCGCCAAGTTGCCCAGGCGGGTCTCGCACCTCCGGGATCAGGGAATCCACTCACCTCAGCCTCCCAAAGCGCAGGATTACAGGCTGAGCCACTGAGCCCGGCTAACACACAGACTTTCTTAAAAATTCTACCCAAAGAGACAATTCTGTCCATGGCTCATTGGCAAATCAAGTCTCGGCGACACTACTGAGTAGGCCATATATCTGTAAGAGGCCACACGGAGTGCATATTAGGATATTTGGTGAACAGTGAAACATGCTGCAACAATGTCCCAAGCCCATTAACTCATTCTCCCCTAGCCCCAGTCCCTACTATTAATCGCTACTTCAAGGTGTGAGGATCTATGGCTGTGCCTAGAAAACAAAAGTAAAGAAGTAGTCCCGAAACCTGATACACCAAAAGATATAAGCTTCACATAATTTTACTGGCCAATTCTAGCAAAACTTTGAGAAATAAGTCATTCCTGTAATGAATATTTAGGGCTCCAAAACATCTTTAGAAATGCTTCCTAACATATTATATCATGGACACCAAAAACAAGCAAGAGCACTACAGAAAAGAAAAGTAGGCTTGGCACAGTGGCTCATGCTTATCATCCTAGCACTTTGGGGGGCCAAGGTGAGAGGAATGCCTGAGCTCACGAGATTGAGTCCAGACTGGGCATCTTCGCAAGACCTCATCACTACAATAAATAAAAAAATTAGCTGGGCATGGTGACACATGCCTGCAGTTCCAGCTACTTGAAGGCTAAGGCAGAAGGATCACCTGAGCCCACCAGGGTGAGGCTGCAGTGGCAGTGAGCAGCATGTCACTGTATTCCAGCCTGGGCTACAGAGTGAGACTCCAACTCAAAAAAGAAAAGAAACTAGAACTATAGGTACATGCCACCTTTTCCAGCTAACTGTCTGACATAAAACATGAACATTCCAACTTTCTCTCAATTCTTGGTCAATATTACTTCCCAAGAGCACTAAGCTATTACACTATTTGTTTCTAATACCAGTGACACTTTTTCTATTTTAAATTTAGAGATGGAGTCTAGCTATGTTGCCCAGGTTGGAGTGTAATGGCTATTCAGAGGCATGATCTGCAACAAAAGCAAAAGGGTTTTTACCAACACCAGGTTTACAGGTGGAGGAAGTAGTCACCAGAATCATGAGCTAGAGCCATGAAGAAAGGGTTCCTGAACAGAAGTTTTGGCTTTCACAAGAGGTATACAATTAACTGGGGTGACCGTGTAATGATAGAGCCAAAGGAATAAACATGTAACAGAGGAGGAAATTCTGTGAATTTAGAGAAGTTATCTGAACCAAGTCTCCTTCTAAAGCAAATGAGTAATTATGGAATATTTAAATTCTATCAATTCCTTGCACTAGAGAAATAGGATTTTTGGTGTAGAAGAAAGGAGATATAAACATGACACTGAAAAAATTAGCTTCTAAAAGTCCAGAATTCCTAAATTTGGATTGGAAATATCAGCATGAAATGTTGAAATATTTATCTTTTTTTTTTTTGAGTCAGAGTCTCACTCTGTTGCCCAGGCAGAAGTGCAGTGGCATGCTCATGCTGAGCTCAGGCAATTCTTCCGTCTCAGCCTTCCAAGTAGATGGAACTATGGGCATGTGCCACCATGTGTTGCTAATTTTTTTTTAATTACTATTTATTGTAGAGATGAGGTCTTGCTATGTTGCCCAGGCTAGTCTTAAACCTGTGGGCTCAGGCAATCCTCTCACCTCCATCTCCCAAAGTGCTGGGATACAGGCATGAGCCACCATCAATCTTCTGTTTTTATTTTTTTGAGTCAAAATCTCCCTCTGTCACTTAGGAAGAGTGCAGTGGCACACTCATGGCTAGCGCAGCCCTGACCTGCTGGGCTTAGGCAATCCTGCCTCAGTCTTCCAAGTACCTGGAACTATAGGCACATGCCACCCTGCCTGGCTAATTTTTTTTCATGTACTCTAGAAATGAGATCTCACCAAGTTTCACAGGCTGGTCTCTAACTCCCGGACTCAGACAGTCCTCTTGCTTTCACCTCCCAAACACTGGGATTATAGGCATGAGTCATCATGCTCAGTCAACAATGCCATTTCTGAGCATTGCATAACTTCACCATTTATCTTGATCTGAGAACAGCATGTTCCCAGTGGTCCTACTGTTAAAGGTCATGATGCAGAGCTAAAGCTAACCTACAAAGGAGGAAAAGTAACATTGTGTTTGAGGTTAGATTGCTGTGTGAGCTACTAAGATTTAGGGGCCATGTTTTATAGCAGAAAAACTTAGTCTCAGCTGATAAAGATAGCTCTTCCCCTCCTAGCAATACTAGTATCTGTAGCTAACAGTTTTTCTTATTATTTTTTGAGTTGAGGTCTCACTTTGTCCCCTAGCCGGGAGTTTAGTGGCACACTCCACCTGCTGGACTCAGGTGATCTTTCTGCCTCAGCCTTCCAAGTAGCTGGAGATACAGACACGTGCCACCACACCCAGGTAATTTTTTGATGTAGAGATGAGGTCTTGCCAAGTTGCCCAGGCTGGTCTTGAACCCCTGAGCTCAGGCAATCTTCTCACCTCTGCCTCCTCTGCTGGGATTACAGGCATGAGCCACCATGCCCAGCTGTAGCTAACATTTATAAAGCAAGGTCTCAACTAAAAAATTCTTATTCCAAGGCCCCTTTTCTTTAACATTACCTAAAATAATGCCCACTGAAAAAATAACTCAATGAAAGGACAAAAAGTAAGCAAATACACTTTGAAATTCATCCAGAACAGAATCTTGAGTCAAGTGAAGAAAGGGGTCTGTATCAGTCAGGATGAACTGAGTTGTTCTGTAATAACAAACAACCTCCCTCATAATCTCAGTGGCTTAATGTAACGAGGGCTTATTTCTCACTCGGGCTCCATGTCAATCCATCTGGCAACTTACGTGTGCTCAAAGTCCTCTTAACTCCAGGAATGAAGCCAATAGTGCAACTGCTGTTTGAAAAATGGTCAGAAGTGCTCAAGGGAGAAACAGGATGGAAAACAATACATGGCTCTTAAACATTCTACCCAAAGAGAGAATTCTGTCCATAGCTCACTGGCAAATCAAGTCTCAGTATCACTCCAGAGTTCAACAGGGTTGACTACACACCAATAAGGAGAGGCCACATGGCAAGATGCCAGGATATTTGATGAGTAGTGAAGCATATTGCCACAAGGTCCCAAGACCATTAACTCATTCTGCTCTAGCCCCAGTCTCCACTATCAGTTGCAACTTCAAGGTGGGAGGATCTATGGCTGTGCCTATAATACAAAAATAAAGGACACAGTCCCCACACCTGCCATACCAAGAGACATCAGCTTCACATAATTTTATATGCCAATGTGATGCAACAAGTATCACCTCAAACTTCAAAGCCTCAAACCACACAAACATTAACTCAAGTAAAAGCTTAAACTTTAAGCTTCAAAAAAAAAATCATAGGAGACTGCCAGGTGCAGTGGCTCAAGCCTGTAATCCCAGCAGAGGAGGCAGAGGTGAGAGGATTGTCTGAGCTCAGGGGTTCGAGATCAGCCTAAGCAACATGGCAAGACCTCATCTCTACAATAAATCAAAAAAAATAGCTGGACATGGTGGCACATGCCTGTGGTTCCAGCTACTTGGAAGGCTGAAGCAGAAGGATCACCTGAGCCCAGTAGGTCGAGGCTGCAGTGGCTGTGAGCGTGCCACTGCACTCCAGCCTGAGTGACAGAGTGAGACTCTGACTCAAAAAAAAAAACAAACCAGGAGAATATCATCATGACTTTGGTGTAGGCAAAGAATTCTTAAGAAGCAAATTCTAATAGTTGTCAAACAAAATGATTTCCTTTTTTCTCCTTCAAAAACGTCAAGAAAATGAAAAGGCAAGCCACAGATTCACAGAAAGTCTTGGTAAAATAGATACTCGACAATAGGTAGATATAAACAGGTAACCAAATTAAAACTAGGCAAAAAGATTTGGATAGACTCTTCAAAAAAATTAAGCAAATAGTCAACAAGCACATGGAAAGATCATCCATGTCAATGATCATTAGAGAAAATCAAAACCCCAATGAGAGACTACTACACACTCACATAAAAATGAGCAGGCTGAGCCCACATGGTGGCTCATGCCTTTAATCCCAACACTTTGGGAGGCTGAGGCAAGAGGATTACCTGAGCCCAGGGGTTTGAGACCAGCCTAGGCAACTTGGTGAGATCTAGTCTCTACAATAAATCCAAACATTAACCGGGCATGGTGACGTGTACCTGTGGTTTCAGCAACATGAAAGGTTGAGGCACAGCCGGGCTTGATGGCTCAGCCTGTAATCCCGTGCCTTGGGAGTCTGAGGTGAGTGGATTGCCTGAGCCTGCGGGTTTGAGACCTGCCTGGGCAACTTGGTGAGATCTCATCTCTACAATAAAAAATGAAAAATTAGCCGGGCGTGGTAGCGTGCGCCTATAGTTCTAGCTACTTGGAAGGCTGAGGCAGAAGGATCGCCGGAGCCCAGCAGGTCGAGGCTGCGGTGGCTGGGAACGTGCCACTGCACTCCAGTCTGGGCGACAGAGCGAGACTCCAACTCAAAAAAAACAAAACAAAAGGTTGAGGCAGAAGGATTGCCTGAGCCCAGCAGGTCAAGGCTGCGATGGCTGTGAGCACACCACTGCACTCCAGCCTGGGTGACAGAGTGAGACTCTGACTCAAAAAACAAACAAACAAACAAACAAAGAAAATTAAAGGACCTAGAATAGCTAAGACAACCTCAAAAAAGAATAAAGCTGGAGGACTTAGGGTACATGATTCCAAGACTTAACATAAAGCTGCACTTATCAACACAGTGTGTTCTCTATGTAAGATGATTACATTAATGAAAAGAAGAGATTTCCAGAAATAGACTCATGTTTACACAGTCAAGAGATTTTGTTTTTTTATCATATTGTTTTATGTATATTGGGTAATTTGCCAATGTTGTAAATAGGTTACAGAAGACACATCTCACATATGTGCATGAAAACCCAATTGTCATGCTTATGAACAATGGATCAAAATTTTCAACACAGGAAAATGCAACACTCAGCAAAGCAATTCAGCCTAAGAGGAGGGCTGCTGAACAAATGTGATGCAGCAAGTATCACCTCAAACCTCAAAACCTCAAACCACACACAAAAATTAACTCAAGTTGGATCATAAACCTAAACGTTAATGCTAAACCTTTAAGTTTCTTAAAAAAAAAAACAAAACCACAGGAGAATATCATCATGACTTTGCTGTAGGCAAAGAATTCTTAAATAAAATATACATTCTAATAACTATGAAACAAAATGATTTTATTTTTGCTCTTCAAAAAACACTATTAAGAATTGTACAATATTGGGCCGGGCACAGTGGCTCAAACCTGTAATTCCAGCACTTTGGGAGGCCAAGGCGATAAGATTGCCTGAGCCTGAGGGTTCAAGACCAGCCTGGGCAACATGGTGAGATCTCACCTCTACAATAAAAAAAAAAATTAGCTGGGCATGATAGTACTCGCCTGTAGTTCCAGCTACTTGGAAGACTGAGGTTGAAGGATCGCTGGAGTCCAGCAGGCAGATGCTAGGGTGACTGTGAGCGTGCCACTGCATTCCAGCCTGGGTGACGCAGTGAGACTCCAACTCGAAAAGAATTGTATACTATTAAAAACTAAAGAAGCTATAAATATTGATTCCACCTAATCCAGGCATGTTATACAGGTAAGTTTCTTAACATCGATAAAATGTCACATCTGTAAAATGGCAATTTTGATTCCTAACTTTCAAATTGAGAGGGATTAAAACACTGTGGTGACTGTAAACCAAATGCCTGGCACCAAACGACAGCTTGATAGACGGTATTTACCATCATGTTTCATTTCGTAGCAGTTGACACAGACCTGGAAATCCAGCAGCCAGGAAGAAATGTTGCTGAGGTAAAGATGGTGGTTATATGAATGACAGCTTCGGTCCAGGATAGTATTCCCTGGGCAGGCCCTTGCCCTTAAAAAGCCCTTCTATCCTGGGGAAGCAAACAGAACCTCAAGTCTCTAATGGTACACTGCAGGGCACAAGGTATTCAACATGCACAAAGGAAATTCAGTCATGGTAACACTATAGGACCATCAAAGGTAAGCAGCACCCACCTGAAAGTAGCTTGTCAGAAGCACGGAAGTCCTCTCTTGCTCAACAGACAGGCCTCTCCTGACAGGCAGGAATTTGAGAACGTGGACACGAAAATGGAACAGATAGTGTGAGCATCATGAATGTCTCTTGGCCTCTAGATACCAGGCAGGAAATCTCCAAGGTTAAACTGAGGGGGTCTCCTCTTCCTTTAAGGAAAAAAAAAAATGCCTCAGACCTGTCAGGAAAAAAGAATGTAGACAGCTCCTAGGGGACAGAGCCTATCCTGACATGCTGCTGCTAAATAGTCATCCTTCTAATGCCTGCGGGCCTCAAGTTCTAATAATATTAGTAATAGTCAATGCATACTAAAGTTTACTGTATATCAGAGACAATTTCAGGCACTGTACAAGTTTCATCTCCCAAAGTTCCATGAGTTAGGTCTTCTGATAACCTGAGACTCAGTTAACAATCTTGCTCAAACTGACAAAGCTACAAAGTGCTGAGATTCGAAGCCTAGTTGTGGAATGCCATGCCCTTAGCCAGTTTGGTCAGTGGTCAGTAGTGACCATCCCCCTGAGGGTCAGACAAATCGCAGACAGTATCTACACAAAGGGTTGAAGGAATGTAGATGAAACAAGAATGGCGATAAGTTAAATGTTGAATCTGGTGATAGATCCATGGGGATTACGAAAAAATTAAACACAAAATTACAGACCTAATATCTGGGCCCCACTAGGTGCCCTCAGAAGTTACCACCCTACCTCTTACAACCCCAAGCCAGAGGTCTGGCTCCATCATTTGGGAGAAGAACAGAAAAGGAAACAGGGATTCAGCCAAAATGGCTACCCACATGACACCCAAACTCGGGAATTTTGGCACAAACAGAGTGGCCACCTGCCGCACAGCAAACCCTAGGATAACAGGTCTCAGAGAATGCCTGCCCTCATTCAAAAAACTGCCTTAGATACAGGTCACAGTAATGCAGTCCATCATTACTAGAGGACACCACCCCCCGAAACCCCAGAGACTCCAGACCCAAGACACTCCACCAGACCCCCTGAGATATTTTGCTAAAGTCAGGGTCACCTCCATCCACCCCTCCTCCCAACCTCGACAAAGCAAGATATACCAAGACCTGACACACTCCTTCTCCCACTACCACTCACCCAGTCACCACTTGGGACATATCCAGCACCATCCCAAAAAACCACAAAGACAAAAACCTTCACATTCACCATCAGTTCTGGGTTCCCACAACCACTCGCACATGCAGGACCAATATACACTGTTCAGGACATACGATGGAGTCAGTATACCCAATGAGCAGCCATTTCACATTGCTTAGCTTCTGTCATGTTTTCCTAACAGTTGAATTTACCCGCTAATCACTAGCCAACGCTGATCACCAGCCAACGACACAATCAGTTTCTCAGAGGTGGCTACTGCATGTTGTTTTACAACACCTCCCAGCTTGTATTTTACTAATTCGCTTTTCTATTCCAAATATTTGAATAAAAAAATCAAGCTAACCTACAATTCCTCCTGACCTTCGCGACACAGACCCTATTACCATGGCAACCAATTTGCCTACCGACCATCACCTGACGTCAGCGCCTGTGTTTACCCGTCCCCTGCGTGATGACGTGCGGCAGGCGACCAGCCAATCACCTTAACGACCTGCCCGCCATCGTCAAAAAGAAGGCTTAAAAGCACGCAACTTGGAGCATTCACTTGCTATTGCTTTGCTCGGCAATGCTTGGGCCTTGTGGCACCCGGATCTATGGACGCTATGATCCCTAGCTTTGGCCACGTCTCCTGTCTTGGGGAGGTGAATCGCTTCGCTGTCTAAAATAAACTACATTTTGCAATCTAACTTCTGTGCAGTTCTTTGCATCTTTTGCGGGTACCAGATCGCAGACAAGCCCCCGGTGGGTCTGACCTAACATTTTAGAGGCCCCGCTGGTACTCCGACCTAACGCACCACTTGCACACAAAGCACACGAGGATATAAGAACCTAGCCACGTCCTCACGCCGGAAACAGAGGATGTCGCTCTGTTGGTCCGGCCGAACGCATCCGCACAGGCCAAATAAGCCACAGGATGCACGCCTGGGGCCGCCAGTCTAATTCAAAGGAGTGTGGCACAGAATAGACCCACCCTTTTCAAAAAAGACAGAGTTCAGATCACTATTGGCCAGCCGGGAAGGGGGGTCCGCGGGGAGCCCAGCCACCCCGAGGTTCCCGGCTGTCCAGGTCTCACCAGATTGCCCCTCCCCAAGCGTGAGCCCCTAGCTGCGCTCCCTCAGCCCAAAACGAAACTTCCCAACCCGCCATCCCGAGCTACCCCAGCGCGCCGCCCGCTGCCCGTACTTCCTACTCGCCACACTCTACCCCGAGTCCTAACCTCGGCCCGGCCTTTCCCGACCTCCTCCTCCAACCGGAAAGGGCATCCTGGGGCCAGAGACCCAGGCAGGCCTCGCCTACCGGAGCCCGCGGGACCGGCCCTTCCGCCGTCGGTCGCCGACCCACCCAGAAGCAGTTTCCAGAATCCCGCAGGTTCCGGCTCCCACTGGCCGCCACGAGCTGCTTCTGGGCCGCGCAGAGGTTAAAGTACCCGGACAGCGGCTGCTGCTGCGACAGCCTCCTCGCCCCTCCTAAAATTCCCATGCCACTAATAGGGTCGGCTCCGCAGCGAAGCCTCCGTAGCCTTCACTCATTCTCCACCAGGGCCTCAGCCCCCACAAGCCTCTGCGGCAGCTTTCCCCGTCGCTTCCAGATCCGGGGGCTCCGCGCCGAAGGCACTGCAGGTTGGCGAATCTGGCCGGTGCTGCGCTGGGTGTCGCTGATGCTTTGAGTTCTGATTTTCCGGCTTTTGCGGAGCGCAATTTCCTGGGCTCCGGCTCCGTTTCGTGCTGCCCGCGAGCCCCTGGGATCATCTCCATTGTCCCTGAGGGGGAGACACTGGGCAGAGCCGTCTTTCACACTCGATCCCTTATCCTCAACTCTTGTGCACCCCCTTAGGTGCCCTGTAGTCATTTTCCTGCTGCCGAAGTCCTCATATCAGTGACAGACTCTCATCCTGGAGGGTGGAAGCCTCACATAGGCTGGAGTCTGGCTCTCTGGCCTCTTATCTGAGATTCTGTTGGAGAGCTCAACTAACGGATTCCATCTTCACCATGTCAATTAGAGTTCCGCAAAGCAGGCCTTCTTCACCTCCTGGGGGGAGAGTTTAAGTCGTAACGATAAGTAAAACTTAAGTTGAATTTTTCCTGTAGCCAGAAGGAAGTCAAGCTGCCCTGCCTCCCTTAGAGTGTTTCCATGAGAAATCTATCTGTAAGTGCCCTTTTGACATGATATAATTCTTTTGAAAGGCTGGATAAGCTTTTTGCCAGCTTTTACAAAGTAGGACTCTGTTTCTTTTTTCGAGTTGGAGTCTCACTCTGTCGCCCAGGCTGGACTGAAGCAGCACGGCATGCTCACAGCCACGGCAGTCTCAACTTGCTGGGCTCAGGTAATCCTTCCAGCCTTAGCCTTCCAGGTAGCTGGAACCACAGGCATGTGCCACCACACCGGGCTGATTTTTTGATTTATTGTAGAGACGAGGTCTCGCCATGATGCACAGGCTAGTTTCAAGTCCCTGAATTCAGGCAATCCTCTCTCCTCTGCCTCCCACAGTGCTGAGATTACAGACTTGAGCCACAACACCCCCACAACACAACACTTATTAAGAAATAAGAATCTATTTCTTAAAGGCCTCTTGAGCCAGTTATTTCATGTGTAAACGTTAAGGTCTCCATGGGAATTTAGCTTAGGTACTAGCTCCAAATGGTAACCACATGGTAGTCATCAACAGGAGTCTTATTTTTCTCATTGATAAGGGCAATTAACTAGCACAGATGCCTATCCCAATTACCAGGTGAATTTAGAATGAACAAGGAAAAAATGCACAACAGGCTGGGTGCAGTGGCTCACACCTATAATCCCAGCACTTTGGGAGGCCGAGGTGAGAGGATTGCCTGAGCCCCTGGGTTAGAGACCCGCCTGGGCAACTTAGCAAGACCTCTTCTCTACAATAAATCAAAAATTAGCCAGGCGTGGTGGCATGTGTCTGTAGTTCCAGGTACTTAGAAGGCTGAAGCGGAAGGATTGCCTGAGCCCAGCAGTCGAGGCTGTATTGGCTGTGATCATGCCACTGCACTCCAGCCTGGGCAACAGAGTGGGACTCCAACTCAAAAAAAGAAAGAAAAATTGCACAGCAAAGAATATCAAATCCTCTTCCAGGAGGACAAATTGCCATTAATCTTGAGAACATGTTTATCATGGATTGTATCTACTCAAGTAGATAAATAGATTTTTTTTCTGTCTTTGAAATCTCATTATCAGATTGCCTATGGTGTGCTTTGCTCTCTGGTTTAAGTTATTAAATAATAAACCTGGGCTGTACTCTGTGGCTCATGCCTATTTCAGCACTTTGTGAGGGAGAGACAAGAGGATTTCTTGAGCCCTGGAGTTCGAGACAAACCCGGGCAATGAGAACTTGTAGCTACAAAAAAATCAAATATAGAACGCCAAGGTGAGAGGATTGCCTGAGCCCACAGGATAGAGACCAGTCTGGGCAACTTGGTGAGACCTCATCTCTACAATAGATCAAACAATTAGCCGGGCATGGTGATGCGTGCCTGTAGTTCCAGCTACTTAGAAGGCTGAGGTGGAAGGATCGCCTGAGCCCAGCAGGTGGAGGCCGCAGTGGCCGTGAGTTTGCCACTGCACTTCTGGGCAACAGAGTGAGACTCCAACTCAAAAAAAAAAAATGCTGTTTTCTACATTTGTGTAGAGGATTTTCTGGGTTGGCAGGTTTTATTTTTCTTTTGTCCAACAGCATCCCTCCTTCCACTCTCTTATTTCTCTTTACCTTCCCTATTTCAGCCTTCTGAGACTTCTCTGTTTTCCAATACTTAAGAGACAGATAAAATGACCCCTAAGGCCACTGCGAGCCAGGAGACAGACATAAGTTTCCTGAGTCCTGACAGAATTCACAGAATTCTTCACTTGACTTGGAGGCTGTCATGTGAGTTGTGGGCAGAATCCAGCCCTGGATCTGGGGTCTTTCCTCAACATCTCTCTGTGCTCTATTGTGACAGTTATTCATCATGTGAATCACATACATGAACAATTAAAATAAAAACACAAGGAGAGATGATGTCTATGGGAAATCTCTCTCCCTTCTGTTTAATTTTGCTAAGAACCTAAAATTGCTCCAAAGCTTATAGTCGATTTGTTAAAAAGAAAAGTTAGGAAAACTTTGCAGAGTGTTCGCTTACCCTTGCCCCACCTCCTTCTCTGGATCCCCAGCCAACTTGAAGCCTCCATTCACAGCGTGGGATGCATTAATGACAGACCAACAGTTCACATTTTATTCTACAGTGAAAACTGAAAGTTTTTTCCCTAAGGGTAGTGACAAGACAAGAATGCCCACTTTTGCCACTTCTATTCAACATTGTACTTGAAGGTCTGTCCAGAGAAATTAGAGAAGAAAGAGAAATTAAAGCCTTGCAAATTGAAAAGGAAGAAGTAAAACTATATTCATAAATGATGTTACATATAGTAAACCTTATATTTCTATAAGTAACTATGATCTCAACAACAAAAGATCTAAACGAATGAAACTACATCCTGTGTTTACATATGGGAAGACATAACATTGTTAAGATGGCAATATTCAAAGCAATCTACAAGTTATCCCTGTCAAAATTCCAGTGGCCTTTTTGTAGAAATGAAAAAACCTAATCCTAAAAGTCATGAAATTTCAAGGGATCCCAAATAGCCAACACAGTTTTGAAAAAGAAGAACAAAGTTAAAGGACTCTTCTTAATTTCAAACTTAATGCCAAGTTTTGATTATCAAAACCCTGCGGCACTGATAGATTATTAAACTAATGGATACAATTGAGAGTCAAGAAATCAACCCATACACAATGGTCAGTTGATTTTCAGCAAGAGTGCCAAGACCACCTAATGGGGAAAGAATAGTCTTTTCAACAAATTATGATGGCAACTTGATAACCACATGCAAAAGAGTGAAGTTGAACTTCTATCTTCCACTTTATACAAAAAGTGTTTACAATACATAAAGACATAAATATAAACACTAAAACTCAGAAAAAAAACAAAGGAGTATATATTCATGACCTTGCATCTGGAAACAGTTTCTTAGATCTGACATCAACAGCACAAGCAACAAAAGAAAAAAGTAAATAGGAATTTATCAAAACTTAAAATATTGGGCCCCAAAGGATACTACCAAAAGAAAGAGGCAACCCATAGAATGAAAGATAGTATTTTCAAGTCCTGTAGCTGATAAGGATCTAGTGTTCAGAGGACATAAAGAAGTCTTATGATTCAATAATGAATTTTACAATAGCAAACAAGCCAGGTGTGGTGGCTCATGCCTGTAATCCCAGCACTTTGGGAGGCAGAGATGAGAGGATTGCCTGAGCCCAAGGGTTCGAGACCAGCCCAGGCAACTTGGTGAGACTTCATCTCTACAATAAATTAAAAAAAAAAAAAAAAAGTCATGCATGGTAGTGTACACCTGTAGTTACAGCTACTTGGAAGGCTGAGGCGGAAGGATCCCCGGAGCCAGCTGGTCAAGATTGCGGTGATCGTTAGCGTGCCACTGCCCTCCAGCCTTGGTGACAGAGTGAGACTCCGATGCAAAAAATAAAATAAAATAAAAACAGGGGGACCCTCAGTGTCAGTGAAGGTCTTTTTCTCCACCCTGAGCTGTGCACATGAATACCATGTTCCAGTGTAGCAGATGAGCTGTGTCTTCCTAGCAGGAATGAGCTCTAGAAATAAAGTGGTAGGTGGAATTCAAAACACCCAAAGAGGGTGGAGTGGGGATGGGGGTACTTCCTGTGGCACAAGTGGCCAAAAATCTGAAAGCTGTTTAGTTGTCTTTTGGGGCCATCTTGCCCTGGGTTCTGCTATACACACACTGGGTTTGACCACACTGAATTATTCCCAAAGTGTTGGGGATGAGCAATCACACACCACAGCTTGGGCTTACTGCTGCTCTGTGGAATAGAAGATGAACCCTAGAGCCCAATGGGATGGACAGAACACAGCAGAGGCCGGAGATGAGACAGCTGACAAGGTGAGGGTCACCCCTCTACTACCATGTGGCCATGTCTCCGTGAGGCAGTGAAATAAGGATTTTTGTAGCAGGAGCATTGTGGACCAGGAGTAAAGTGCTCGGCCATGCCCTGGTAAAAGAGGGGCCCAGAGCACTGCAGGCTCAGGCTAGGAGCAAAGTAACAGCAGGAACTCCCAAAATCCCTCTCTTAACTATTCAGGCTTTCGGGGTGTTCTGGTTATGGTCACATCGTCTCACTCAGTCCCTAAAGGGGTCTTGTAGGAGTCTAGCAGATTTACCTCCACATGGCAGATGAAAAAAAAGGCATGGGAAGCTTCGGTAACTTGTTCATAGTAGTGAGAGACTGAAGAGGGATTTATCGCCTGTCTGATTCAGTTGACACCTAGAAATAGATTTAATTTTGCTCCTTTAACATATGTGCTTTGAGGAGTTCTGCAGTTCTTGACTGTTCTTACCTTGCATGGGCAGAGGTAACAGAGCTAAGTCTTGGTTCCCTACTTTCTTTCC